ATAATAATAAACTCCCATTTCTGCTGAAGCTAGATGAATTGAGTTTCTGTTATATACAAGTAGATGATGTCTAACTAATATTCACATTAACATAGTGATAACTGAACCTTCGTTTCCATATCCCTTCTCTCCCAGTTGTCACCCATGGTGACCCCATGTGTGTCAGAGTAGAACTGTGCTCCACAGGACTTTCAACAGCTGATTTTTCAGAAGATCTCCCAGCCTTTCTTCTGAGGCGTCTCTGGGTGGATTCATACCTCTGTCCTTTTGGTTAGCAGATGAGCACCTAACTGTTTGCACCATCCAGGGACTCCAGTATAACACCCCACAAATTGATACTAAATATGTAAAAGTTTACCTCATGTTCCTTATTATTTGTCCGTGATGACTGTAAACGAAAATCAACAGCTGAGTCTGCTAAAAACAAAACAAAATGAGAGACCAGGTTATTTTATCAACTAAATATCCAATAATACCTAAAAATAGCAAATTAATAAAATAAATATCTTTTATCTAGAAATAGAATGCAGCAGTTTTAAAGGACGGCATAGAAATCCATCATTGACCAGTTACATTAAAAAACTGTTAGGGTGGCGAAGCATAAAAAAGTATAAAACTGCCAAAAAATGTGACAATCTAATCAAGACTTTACAGCTAACCTCTGCTTTACAGAGAACGTGGGGAAGAAGGGAATTAGGGAAATGAAATCGTGCATAAGCAAATAAGACAAACGCAACAGTGAGACAATCTATGGGGTGACTAACCTGGCTTTTTTCAACCAGGAAACGAGCAAGAGGAGAGGTGGAAAAGTCACACACTATTAAAGACTTAAGAGACACAACAACAAATGTACTCCAACATAATGTAACTTTGCTCTGGCTCCAATCCAAGCAACCCAGCTGAGATAATCAGTAAATCAAAATATATATTGAGACACTAGATGCTAACAGAAGAACTGTTACGTTTACTAGCTGTGATAATTGCACTTTGGGCATGTAAGAAAATGTCTATATTTTTAGAGACGCATACTAAAATACATAGGAGTGAAATAACAGTACGTGGAATTTGTTTTAAAATTCCAGAAAAAAAGTAGTAAACACTGTTGTTGTTGTTGTTGTTGTTGTGTGCCAAGGAGCCCTGGTAGTGCACAGGTTAAGCACGCCCCTGCTAACCAAAAACTCAGTGGTTGAAACCCACCAGCTGCTCCATGGGAGAAAGATATGACAGTCAGCTTCCATAAAGATTTACTGCATTGGAAACCCTATGGGGCAGTTCTACTTTGTCCTACAGGGTACTGTGAGTTGGAATCAATTTGATGGCAATAGGGTTTTTGGCTTTGGTTGTGTACCATCAGCAGCCTTGGTAGCACAGTGGTTAAGAGCTCATCTGCTAACCAAAGTGGCAGTTCGAATCCACCAGGTCCCCCCTGGAAACCCTATGGGGCAGCTCTACTCTGTCCTATAAGGTTGCTATGAGTTGTAATCGACTCGACAGCAACGGGTTTTATTTTTTATTTTGTTTATTTCTGTGTGCCACCAACTTGATTCTTATTCATAGCAACCCTACAGGACAAAGTAGAACTGCTGCATACAGTTTCCTAGACTGTAATCTTTACAGGAGCACATCGCAAGGTCTTTTCTCCCTTGGAGTGGCTAGAGGGTTCAAACCATCAACCTTTCAGTCAGCAGCCAAATGTTAACCATTGCGCCACCAGGCCTCCTTAAAATTACTGTATGACAAAACCTTAAATTAACTGAAACTAAAGAATAGGTATGTTGGGAGTTATTACTTTTCAATTTGTTATATAATTAACATATGATAAAATTCAGCCTTTTAACAGTGTACAATTCAAAGGATTTTAGTATATTCACAAAGCTGTGCAACCATGTAAAAATGGCATGACTACAACCTCCTCATCTAACTTCAGGGGCAGGAGAAGAAGCACCATCAACATCAGCCCAAGGCTGATTCACATGAGATGGAAGTCAGACATACCTCTACTCTCCAACCTTTTTACCAATTCTGACACAAGCTGCCCCTGCCATGGCACTCTCCTTCTCTGCTGGGTTTGAAAATTCATTGCAATGGCCAGAGAACTCACAGACCATTCTCACAACTATGGGGTTTATTAAGAAAGGAACAGATTACAACTCAGGATCAGATCAACTTGGATGCAACAGGAACAATTAAGGACACAGTTCATCAATCAGGACAGCTTACTCTTGACCTGGAACACAGGCAGGCCTCCCTCTCAGCCCTTGGCCCCTCGACCCTCAGCACTCTACCTGGCTTATACTGTGCTCAGGCAAATGTTACAAAGCTCTTAGCCCTGCCAATAAACGCTGTAGGCACCCCACTCCGCCAGGAAGCCTACTGCCCGAAGGCTCTCAAGCTCTCTCACATTATGGGTCAGCAAGCCCACTGTAGCTGCCTCACTCCAAGGGCCAGGAAGCCCACCGTGCCATCTCGTGCTGGTCTCCTGTCTCCTCCTGTCACATGCTACTGCTGCCTACAGTGTTACAGCTCTCCAGAGTTACAAGTCTCCCTGCCTCCTGGGTTTAGGAGGTTCTCAGCACAGAGACCTTAGGTCCAAAGAACAAGCTCTGCTCCCAGATCCTCCTCTTGATGATAGACAGGTCCCACTCAACCTCTGGAATTTGGTCCTGTCTTAGTTATCTATTGCTGCTATAACAGAAATATCACAAGTGGATGGCTTCCACAAACAGAAGATTATTCTCTCACAGTTTAAGAGGCTAAAAGTCCAAATTCAGGGCATCAATTCTAGGGGAAAGCTTTCTCTCTCTGATGGCTCTGGGGAAAGGTCCCTGTCATCAATCTTCAGCTGGTCTAGGAGCTTCTCAGTGCAGGGACCCCACGTCCAAAGAATGCACTAAGATCCTGGCTGTTCTTTCTTGGTGGTAATGAGGTCCCTCTCCTCTCTGTTCACTTCTCTTTTTTATATCTCAAAAGAGAATGACTCAAGATACAACCCAATACTGAAGATGGAATCCTGCTTCATTAACATAACTGCCTGCCTCATTAACATCACTGGGGTTAGGATTTACAATACATAGGACAAAATGGTGGACAATCAAACAATACTGGGAATTATGGCCTAGAAAAGTTCACACATTTTGGGGGAACACAATTCAATCCATAACAGCTCCCTTTAAGCCCAGTGGAATCGCAAAACAGACCAATCCCTGACAAGGGTTCCATGCACCTGATCTGCAGTGGCAAAAATGTCCAACTCCCTTCATGGGTCACAAGCACCTTGTTTGCATACTTCCACCCAATCATTCTGTGGAAGCTAAAAGACCATAGGACTCTTTGTTGTTGTTAGGTGCCATCAAGTCAGTTCCAACTCTTAGCAACCCTATGTACAACAGAAAGAAATACTGCCTGGTCCTGTGACATCCTCACAATCATTGGCATGTTTGAGCCCACTGTTGCAGCCACTGTGTCAATCCATCTCGTTGAGGGTCTTCCTCTTTTTCAATGTCCCTCTACTTTACGGTGGAGCCCTGGTGGCGCAGTGGGTAAGAGCTACAGCAGATACCAAAAAATCGTCAATTCTAATTCACCAGCAGCACCTAGGGGCAGTTCTACACTGTCCTGTAGGATTGCTACGAGTTGGAATCAACACAACAGCAACAGGTTTCTTTTCCCCCCTATCTCAACCAAGCATAATGTCCTTCTCCAAGGCCTGCTCCCTCCTGATAACATGGTCAAAGTACATGAGGGGAAGTCTCACCATCCTCACTTTCAAGGAGCACTCAGGCTGTACTTCTTCCAAGAAAGACTTGTTCGTTCTTCTGGCGCTCCATGGTACGCTCAGTATTCTTCAACAACACCATAATTCAAAGGAATTATTCTTTGGTCCTCCTTTCTCATTGTCTAGCTTTCGTATGCATATGAAGTGATTGCAAATATGATGGCTTGGGTCAGGGCGCCTTAGTCCTCAAAGTGACATCTTTGTTTTTCAACACTTACAAGAGGTTTCACACAGCATATTTTTCCAATACATCATTTTGATTTCCTGACTGCTGCTTCCATGGGGATTGACTGTGGATCCAAGAAAAATGAAATCCTTGACAACTTCAATCTTTTCTCCATTTATCACAATGTTCCTTATTGATCCAGTTGTGAGCGTGAGGGTTTTTCTTTTCTTGATGTTCAGGTGTAATCCATACTATAGTCTTTGATCTTCATCAGTAAGTGCTTCAAGTCCTCTTCACTTTCAGCAAGTAAGGTTGTGTCATCTGCATACTGCAGGTTGTTAATGAGTCTTCCTCCAGTCCTGATGCTGCATTCTTCTTCATATAATCCAGCATCTCAGATTATTTGCTCAGCAGACAGACTGAATACATATGGTGAAAGGATACAACCCTGACGCACACCTTTCCTGACTTTGAACCATGGAGCATCCCGTTGCTCTGTTCAAATGACTGCCTCTTGGTCTCTGTACAGGTTCCGCGTGAACACAATTAAGTGTTCTGGAATTCTCATTCTTCACACTGTTATCTATAATTTTGTTATGATCCACACAAATATCTTTGCATAGTCAATAAAACAGTTAAACATCTCTCTGGTATTCTCTGCTTTTAGCTAGAAGGGTCATATTAAAGCAATTCACTGCACCACAAAAAACCACTATCTAATTAATTCCAGAATATTTTCATCACTCCCAAAAGAAACCCTGTAATTCACAGCAGTCACTCCCCATTCCACCCTCCCCCAGCCCCTGACAACCATTAACCTACTTTCAGTCTACGTAGGTTTTCCTATTTTAGACATTTCCTATAAATGAAATCATATATTATGTGGACATTTGTGTCTCTCGTCTTTCACTTAGAATGTTTTCATACTAGGCCCTTATCAGATATATCATTCGCAAACATTTTTTCCCATCCTATAGGCTGTCTTTTTACTTTCTTCATAGCGCCCTTTAAAGCACAAGTGTTTTCCATTTTGATGAAATCCATTAACTATTTTTTCTTTTGTTGCTTGTGAGAATGGGGAGTTATTAATGCTTATGTATATATTTGTTTTCATCAAGAGAACATAAATATTCCTCACGATTTTTAACTTAAAAATATAAATATGCTTTCACTCATTAATCTTATACTATAGGATCAAGCAAGGATTTTTTAGTATAGAACTACAGTTTGGAGTTATATAATAACTTTCTTACATATACGGATAGTAGGCAGGTTTCAATTTCCAGTTTTTATTATCTTCGACAAAGAGAGAGAACTTAGTATACTTGGAAAGCAATCTAAAAAGGAAATCAATCAACATGATTTACAATAGCCCCCAAGAAGATAAAATGCTTAGGAATAAACCTAACCAGAGACGTAAAACACCTATACAAAGAAAACTATGAGACACTACTGCAAGAAACCAAGACACCT